TCTCTTCCCGTTCTGCTTATGTAGCATTACTAAAGATGACAGAAAGTAGTCACAACTTTTTTTTTTAAATTTATTTGAGTTTGTCCATCGAATGAGTAATAATTGTGAAAATTTTCATTTTTTACAAAAAAGTGAAATTTTAAATTAAAAAATAAGTTTTAATTTTTAATTTTTTTTTTTGAACATATTTATAAGGGACGGGTTTCGAACCCAACCGGGAGGGGGAAATGTACCGGGGTGACTATTGCCACTAGGCCTCAAGGGCCAAGTGCATTTTAATTTTTAACTTAAAATATATCAAGAAAGTAATTATTATTTTCTTCAACTTCATAACATTTACCATTAAAATAAAAATCAACTTCACCATTTTTAAGATAAAAAATAATTATTATTAATCAATAATTACTTGTTATCTTATATCTTAAAAATACAAAATAGATAAATTATATTATTTTAATCATCATGAATATAAGATAATAAATAGAAAAACACAGTACACAGGCATCAACAATAGCAGTTTTACGAAGAAGAGGAAAATGAACCAAGAAATCACAATGCAGATTGTAAAGCATTTGCGTTTTTTCCCTCTGTGAAAAATTAAAGAAATAACATAGACAATCACAACTAACATAATATTGCCTTGCATACTAGTAAACCTTGCTAGTTGATACACAGCCATCAAATCAAAAGCCAAAATCACTTGTGAAGTAAAAAATAAAAAGAAAAATAAAAAGGATTTGTCTGACAATTGCAACAACATGCCAAGGGTTGATGGCCATTTTTAGTTTACACACTTAATCAGAAGTAAATGACATTCAAAGCCCACCTCCTCCAGAAGAAGAATAGGACCAACAGCCTTAAAGCATCTGCTATGGCTCATCTAACTGGTCCTGCATTACAATATCGGAATAAACATTATGAAGTGTTATGTGAGGACCTGAAAAAGGGGTTCGTGGCTTTGTACTAAGATTTCCTTAACCACAGTTTTTTATGAGAGAAATAAAGAGATCTTTCACTGACCTGCGCATCTGAAGTCCAAAGAGTGAGGTTATCTCTTAGGAGTTGCATAATGAGAGTACTGTCCTTGTATGACTCTTCTCCCAAAGTATCAAGCTCAGCGATAGCTTCCTCAAATGCCTTGAGGAAGATAACAAGAAGGGAGAAAATCAATTGATTTACCAAAAAGCAATACTGACAAATGAATAAGTACTTAGACAAAAGACATGCATTCAACTACATATATAGGTTGTGTGTTTTAATGGCAAAGAATATACTGATCTCACAATGCCAACAGACTGAATATGCCATCCTGCATGCAAACTTTGCACATATGGATGTCAGCATTTAAGTTTGATTGATAGGCAGGAAGGCCTCATGCCACTAATTAAGTACCCCCCACATATATAAACACTAGCATCCATCTGAGGATAAGCTTTTGCAGCTGCAACTACTCCATGTCAAAAGAATAACATTCAAAATATATGTACTTATGTGGGGACTATTCCATCACACTAAACTTCCACATCAAATGAATTTGCTTATAACCAACAGCTAGAGAAACCATTATGCAGATGTGAGATGTTCAGGCCAACAGGTTCATTACTCAAAATTTTGGTCAAATTCTAGTCAGGATACATGTTTCTCAATTAAGGGTATCATTAAACCATGTCCCAATCAAATGCATGGACAAAAAAACCAACAATTGGCAATCATATCGCTTTCTATACCAAGCTGAGTCACAGCGTCTAAAATACATCTCAATTGTCAAGGTACAGAGTCAAGAATGTAGGCCTCAAAACTATATTCCGGCACTAAAAAGAAACAAATTCATCACTTTCATATTACTATGGCTACTTCCGTGACTCCATCAAAGACAATTTGAATCTGCCTTTGACCGTGTACACCAAAAGAAAAGGTCAAAGTAACCAAGTCTAACTGAAAACTCCAAACACCCATAAATTATTATGCAGAAAATTACAGGAAGGCATAAATTCAGAACATTAGGACCACTTGAAACAGTAAAAATATACTTCTTATACCTGAAGTTCTAACTCTAAAATTCACCTCATCAGTACAAGTACTGAGATCAGAACTACAGTCTCACGAGAGAGTAAAACATGGACAACCAACCTGTTTGGCCATGCTACAGGCCTTATCAGACTGATTAAGAATCTCGTAGTAGAACACCGAGAAATTTAGCGCTAGCCCCAGACGAATCGGGTGCGTTGGTGCAAGATCCGCAAGCGCAATATCCTTAGTTCAATTCAGCGCGATCAGTATCAAACTTAAGAAGGGAAGAAAGTAATAAAACCGCAATATGAACTTCCAAAAGAAACATGACTTCAAAATTCTCAACCCTAGCCCCAAAATCAAATTATCAGAATCAAATTTTAGCTGTAACAGCCTCGATTTCAAAATCTCAGATCTCTGGTCATTTTAAACAGAATTTGACTAAAAATACGCCCGAGAGTAACAAACAAAGAGTACCTGAGCGGCCTTGTAAGCCAACATAGTATCCTCAGCAGCGGCCTTCCTCTCATCTCCAATCTTAAACTCCGCCAAGTACCGATGATAATCCCCCTTCATCTTCAGATAGAACACCTTGGACTCACTCGACGAAGCGGACGGGATCAAGTTGGACTCCGACAACTTGAGGATACTATAGCAAACCTCCGAAAGCTCCGCCTCGACCTTCGATCTGTACTCCTTGACAAGAACCACATGCTCCTCGTTCTTGCGACCTTCCTCTTTCTGCTCGATCGAGGAGACGATACGCCAGGCCGCCCGGAGCGAACCGATCACGTTCTTGTAGGCAACGGAGAGGAGGCTGCGCTCCTCGACGGTGAGCTCGGCGGCCGGAGTGGTGCCGAGGACCAGCTTCTGCATGAACTGGACCATCTCCTCATAGCGCTCGGCTTGCTCAGCCAGCTTGGCTAGGTAGACGTACTGATCGCGGCTAAGATTGTCGGGGACAATAGTCGCCATTTTTTGGTTAAAGATTTATCAATTTGAGAAGTGAGAAGCAAAGGAGAATAAACACACAGATTTCTTTTGGGGGAGATATTTCAGGAGGTGGGTCTGAATAGGGGTAAAGAGGTAATTTGCAGGAGGAGACAGCGCCGCGATGAACTCATGAATTGTGACATGCGGTAGGTCTAGGTGGTCTTTGTTTTTTTAAATCGTTTTTACCTTCTTTCTTTTTCTTTTTTTCTTTTTTCTTTTTGTCAAATAGACCAATGACTTTTTTTAAATGTGCTCTGGAATCACAAATTGAAAATTGTTAAATGTTATCATTTTTTAAATGTGCTCTGGAATCACAAATTGAAAATCGTTGAATGTTATCATTTAATAAAGGATTATTTTTATCTTGTGCTTTTAGATAGATTAAAGATATAATAAAAATATTTTTTTATAATTGTTGGGGTGCACTGATGATGAGGATTGATGAGACAGCAGCAATGATGATGTGGCAATTGACTAAGATGACATCCAAGAAGGTGAGAGGGGTTCTTTTGGCGGCACCCGTTTTACGTGTGGAAGGCTACAGGCCACAAGCTGTTTCAATCTACCCAGTGATGTGGTTGGTAACAAATTTCCCAGCCAAGTACGGTAGTGAATTCCCCAGCCAAGTTCGATAATATGGGATTCCTAACCAAGCCATGACAAGAAAGGGATGGGCTAGACAAGGATGGTGAAATGCTTGTGGCCAAGAATGATTACACAACTATCAAAAGTATACAACGAAGAAGTACATCATGGAAGGAGCACTAGGAATAGAATATCTTTTAAGGTTTAAACATCATAATCGAAGTGCTGTATTTACGTGCATACAATTATGACATCAAAAAAACGACAGTAAATGTGCCCCTTACGATCCCTGGTGAGTACCCTTACTTCATATTGGATGATCCTCATAACTATAAAATACAATAACCTTTCTTTCAAAGCTTGTCTCAATGAGTAAACCTGAAAGTAGTGGTGGGAGTAGGATGGATGACCATTTGGGGGCTTGTGAAGCAGTGACCTGATTCCGTTTTGATGTTGGCTTCTTGGTTTTGATTGTGTGATACTCAAGAACAAGACTCAAAAGTAAAAGCTGCATCATACCGTCTTCCAACCATGGTATTCTGCAAACTTGGGAATGTCTGGCAATGTTGGGAATCTAGAAAGTGTAAGGATAAATGGTGAATTTGAAGTCGTTGAGTGCAGGTATGGTGCAAAGGTAAGGATGGTGAAGCTGTTGTATGTGAGATGAAGGTCTAGACATCTAGAGAAGGGAGATGGGGTTATGCTAGCAACCTCGGGTGTTCTCCCCCTCCTTCCAGATGAAGGAAAAATAATCATATATATATGTATAAATGGCATTTTCATAATTTTTGGGTGACAGGTTAAGAGTGTACAGTGACTTAATGGCTAGGTTTAGGTGAGTTGTCAAGCTTTAAGTGGTTTTGGACATTGTTAATAGCTTTTCTAGCAGTGATATTATGAAGCACCACTGGTCCCAACAAATTTCTTTTAATCTACTGAATATTGCCCATTTTCAGTAACTGTCTAGCTATACAAAATTCCTTTTTCTAGACAACTACTTGAGTGTAGCCTACAAAACAACATCTATGCAAGATCTTGGTAAAGTTCCCAGGGTCTGTGCAAGAGTATTGGAAGATCCTTAAGCAATTGTAATCTTTCTCAGCCTTTTCTAATGCAATCGTAATTTGTGTAGCCGCCTTTGCATTGAATATGGTGGTTGATGGTCAACAAAGACTAAAATAGCATCTTCTAGTTGATTTTCCATGAGATTTCAAGTTCTTGGTTAGCATTAGAAGGTACCGTTTCAAGAATCAGGTTTACTCTCATGTCTTTGTCACCTAGCCTTTCTTGGCAAAGTTGGGCAACATTGCTAGCGCCAAGCTTCACTGGCACGAATACCTTGCTTCACCAGATGGGCAACGCCCATCCATCCATGCCTACCAAACCACTGCTTCCAAGGTTTATCTCGAATATTTCCCATGAGCTTGGATTCATGGGTTCATGCCCACTTGCAGCCAAGACATAGTTTTGATAAGCACTTGTTTGGATGTTCAAGTGTAAAATGCATAAATGTGTGTAGTAAAGAAAGATACTCCCTTGTGCATTGAAGAAGATGATGAAGATAATCATGGCTGTACTTTTTTTGTCTCGTGACTATGGTGGGTATTTATACACTGTGGCTTTATATGGTTGGCATTGTGCCAATATAGAGAGAGTGAGCAATATTGATGTGTGTTGTGATATCATTGATTCGAGCTAAGTACTATTGGTCGACGATACCTACTAACACATGAAATATAGGAGAAATATGTTACGAGTTAGGATTACTAGTGACTGGTAATTTTGTCCCTTTGTATAGAAGAACGATGATGTGCATGATTGTCGACCATGTCATATAAGCATCATAGGGTCAGCCATCAATAGCTTTCCCATAGCTAGAGGAACAACAGTGACTAGCTTTGTTCATGGCTGAAGCGTGAACTATGTGAAATCAAAAAAGTATTCCTACTAACTACTGAGTTGCGGAGAGGTAAATCTCATCAAGTTAGATTCTGCAATAGCGATGGAGATGTGATGAAGATAAGTGGAGTTGTCTCCAAGAATGGGGGGATGCCAACCGCACTCGCGGCCTCTGATACGATAATGTGTGATACCACTAACAAACATTGGCCCTTCTTGCCGTACCCACATCGTTAGAGGGTGATCTTGGTTGTTGCTGCCCACCAAGCATTGCACCACCATGCACGGGTGACCACCAAGGGATTGCCGACCATTACTTGATGGATTTTTATTGCTAGAAGGTAGCCATCCCATCTAATCACAGGGTTGCAATTGTTACTGGCCTCACGCTAATCATACTGAGTTACGTTGACTCTTTGTCCATTTCCGTGCATCAGTGAGATAAGATATGTAGAGGTGGGTAGCATTTTGCCTATTGTTGGAGGCTAAATAAGATAGTAAATCTGGCCCTTTGTCCATCGTTAGGAGCTATGTGGATGTAGCCCGTTGTTCATTGATGGGAGCTATGTATATGTAGCGAAGTAGGCTTTTTATCCATTGCTAGGAGCCAAAGGGTGTGGCGATGAGCATCACTATAAGAGACCATGACTATTGAGAAATGTCCAACCATGTGTTTATAGTAAGATAGGCTCTTCATCCAATGCTGGGAGCCAGTTGTGGCGATGAGCATAGCAGTAGAATTTATGGCTATCAAAAGTATCTAGCCATATTACAAGGATAACGTAGCCATGTCTGGCCATGTACAAAAAAATCTCGTTAAGGCAAGATGTATCTGCGCCATTTCCAGCAAAGTGGACAAATGCTGTTCCTAGCAATGTATGAGAGAATGACAATGTGTATCACTTCCAGCGAAGCTAACTTCCTTGGAATTATCAACGAAAAATAATATGGCTAATTGCAGAAGAACAAATCACATGTGTCCTTGCTGATGTGGAGCCGTACATTCCATTAATTTTAAAGCAGTGCAAATTCATCCCTCAATAATAATTAATTTATATAAAAATTGATAAAAATTAACTTAAATTTAATTAATTAATTAATTAATTAATTAAAATTATTCACATAGTATTGGCATTAAAATAAAAGTTATGTTTTGTTATTTTTTATATAAATTAATTATAGAAAATATATTTAATATACTTTTAACATATATCTTTAGAATATACGTGTTCTTAGAGTATAAATTAGACAAATCCTTAAAGTTCGTATTGAAAATTGTTGAATGTTATTGTTTAACAAGAAATTTGGCCTAGTTGGATTAGGTGGCATGCAAGCATAGTGACTTTTTAGAGGATCAAGCCATTCTATCTTTTTATATATTTTTTAAACGATTTACAATTTGGGGATGAGAGATTTTTTAAGGCATTAATGAAACTCAAAATCCGGACTAACTAATACAAACACTTTAAGGTTTGAGAGCAAATCATTTGAGCACAAGAGCCTAGTTCAAGATATTAGAACAATTTAAATTTATGCACTTCCTGAAATTAGTATAGGTAATTTTAAGAGCATAGCTGCACCACTCTTTATTAATATGCTTCAAACATTGTATTTGAATATGAGAATCCAATTATATAGTTTAGATTACCCTAGATTATAAAATAATAACTATTATATAAAAGCTAAACTTTAAATGTATTAAGAAACCTAACTTTTATCCAATGATTAATGCCATGTAATTGCTATATTCGGAATCATACAACGTTTTTTTCTTTGAATAATATTTTTTTTTCTTTATTTTGGGTTTTATTTTGGTAATGCGTACTTCGAAAACAGAAGGGATTGATGTTTGGTGGTTCCACAAAAGATTTAGGGGCAAAATTAAAGCAAAAGAACATTCACTTTGAAATGGGCAAACATGAAGATGTCGCAGATGATGATAATTTTTCTCTTTTGTCTGTACAAAGGTGGCAGCAAACATTAAATCCTAAGTTCTAGACATCCAAGCTGTTGTGCAAATCCAGCTGTAACAGCTTGAATATTGTTACACATGTACAAAAGGAAACCTGCGCAAGCTGCTCTGGCCTACCAAATTGATTGCCTGATCCCAAGGCCATTACACGTTAATATAAGGCCCTTGTAACGGTTGAGATACTCCTGCAGATGGTGAATGAAAACCCAGAAGCCAATCAATCCAAAAGTAATAATATATATATATAGAAAGATTTACTTACACATAAATTTTATATATGACATTTATATAAAATTTTAATTATTTATCTCTTTATTTTTGATAATTAAGATTTTCACAACTTCTTAGATAAAATCAATAATTATCTATAATAAATATGAATAAATCTTAATTATTAAAAGTGAAAAAATAAATAATTAAGATCTTGTGTAAATTTGATATGTAAGACTTATGTGAAATTGGATCTCTACTCTATATATATATATATTACAAAGAGTTTGTGATTCAAAGCAGGGGTAGAAGAAATACTTACAACAATATTATCATCATAAACAAATAACATCCCCTTCTTGTCATATTCTCTCCTTTTGACAGTATCACTTAGAACTGTTGAATAATATCAAAGCATCTGATGGTTAGACCAAAATTCATTTGTTATGAATTATATTTTGCCATCCTTATATATATCAATTTGTCCTAGCAGCTAAATTTCATTCAGTCTTAATCGTGTTCATGTTTTGATATTTCTCACAACAGTATTATGAAAACATTCTCCTTCAAAGATCAAACCCTTCAACGAATTAACATTTACCATCTAGCTACATTGTTACATAGGAGTACTGACGAATGGCTTACACGGGAGAAAAGTAAACATACAGCCAACTATCGAATTATAAAATCACTATGCTTTGTTAGATAATACCATTATGGTATATAGCTGAACTTCCTAACAAGCATGAAAATATACAGAACAACCATTTTTGTTGGCAGGGAATGTCTGCAAATTGTGCATTCTATCTGGAAATGCTCCATCCAAATCCTGCATGACCCATTTTCCTAACTTGAGTTGACATAAACCAACTAACAATCTGGCTGCAAAAGCACAAGTACATGTCATGGCCAGCATAGAAGGTGGAAACAAGATTCGACCTTAGACTTTGTGCATTGCACCTTATGTAAATGCTAAAGTCTATTATTCACAAGAGAATAAGTTTAATTATGATAACCAACCATGGTTCAAAGCTTCCTATTGTTGCAGAAAAACAATAATCCTTCATCTCAATCCTAGATTGACCACGCTTGGAAAACAGTTGAACTCAAAAACTCATTTTGATGTTGGCAAAGAAACCACTTTGATGGATTTAATGAAGTAATTAACATAAAAACTCAATCCCTAAAGGTAGCCCAAGAAGGCCATGGCCCAGGGACAAGTTAAGGAAAGAAGGATGCAACTATGGTCTCATACGATTGTTGCAGTTGCTTCAAACAACATATATCTTGCGGTGAAAAATTGAATGCACATGGCCAAATTTCAATGTCCTGCTTAAAGTGCTTTAACCCCACTTGTCAAACAGTAGAACAGACCCAAAAGGGGAGAAAGACAGCACCAAAATACTGAATCAAACCTCCCAAGTCCCAAGAGCAATTTTAAATTTACCAAATAATCCAACATGAACCAAAATCAAGCAAACATGGAAAAGAAACAAGAAATGAACGAGACTGACCCTGATAAGCTTCGTTTATCTCTTGAAATCTCGAAGTTGCTGTATCTTCACATTTTTGCTTGTCAGGATGCCATTTCTGCACAACCCACGTCATTCCATTCAAAAACAAAGGGAAAGAAACCAACCCTCAATTCAGGATAAAACAACAGATTAAGATACAAACCAGCGCGAGGCGGATGTAATTGGAACCAATAGCATCCTTCGAGGCATCATAATCCACTTCCAATATCTTATAGTAATCCTGGAATTACAACCCATAAATCTATGCTTGCAAAAAATAAAAATAAAAATAAAAAAATCTTCAAAAAGATTACGAGGAATTCGAAGGCTTACCTTGGGTTTGGAGAGAAGACAGAGGAAATCAAAATTGAGGGGAGAATCTTCCTCCGATTGCTGGGGTTCCTGAGGATTGTCCCACTCGTCCCACATCATCGCGCCACCGTGCGTGGAAGTCGGGAAACATGAAGGTGGCCGGCAGACGGAGGTTATTCGTATTATAAACTTCCCAAGGGGGAATCCTGTATGTGAACGGGTGAAGTGTTAGCGCGCCGCCTACTGCCTAAACGGCACTCCTCGTCTAACTGATAAAAATCTCTAGTTATTTTTCTTTTGACATTTAAGTTTTGGGACAGGAAGTTTCCACATTAACATTCAGAGCCTGACCGTAGATTTGGAGGTGTTTGGCAGAGATTATAATTTTTTTTTTTTATATTTTGATTCCATAATAAAAAATAATCATCTTTCATCTTTTATCGTACTTTATCCATATGTTATGTGATTCAAATTTAACATCTTTTACTTTCAACGAAATGAAATAACTACTAAATTTTTTAAATAATTAATTTGAATAATGATAAATAGAATTAAAATTTGGATCAATCACAATTTATAAGTTTATATTATTTAAAATATTAAAAGGTATATTTTATATTATTTAATAATTATTTTTTATTTTTTTAAAATTTATAATATTTTATATATTAATTAATTTAATAATATAATTTATATCACATCATTAATTTTAAATTTTTATTCAAAACTTTGATCATCCTTATCATTATCATTATCATTACCATGTAAGTTTATGTTTGTTTACAAGGCTAACACAGATCAGCTTAAAATATTAATCTTATTCTCTAATTTCTAAATGGTAAGATTTTGTTGCTGCCCTTAACGTTTCTTCCTCTTAACTAAATCAGAAGTGAGAAGACAAAATTAGTACTAAAAATTTATGATTTAGTTGATGAAAAATTTTATTTTCATACAATTTTAGAAATGTTAATAAAAACATAAATTTTCACAAATTTTTTAATTTTAGTGTAGAGATATTATCTTTAATTTAATAAAAAAATTATAAAACAGTTGCAAATGAACCAAAAACAACTTAACCTTTAAATACAAAAATAAAAATTAGTGGCTTCCCATAATTACATTACGTTGGGGCAAAATAAAAAGAGTCAGATGACGCTTTGGAATCGAAAGAGGTTATAACTTCGTTATAACGGATTTGTTTGTGGATAACTATGTTAATTAGTAAATATTTATTAAAATATATTAACGGATTTATTATTTTGAATAAAAAAAACTCGATTTACTCGATGTTAAAAGAGATTTTTTTAATAAAATTTAACACAATTCGATTTTAAATTTGTCTAATCTAATAAAATTACCAAATATAAAATATAAAAGGTTAATAAAAAATATTTGTTAAATTGCTTTGATTTTTCAAATCAAAATTTCAGGAGACAACCAAACGTGTGGGATATCATATCACGATTCCAAAGCCAAAGTTCTTCACTTTCAAGTTTGAACCGTTCAGGATCCTGCAGGGTCCATGACAGAGAGTCAGGTTCAAACCCTGACCCTGTGTTGAAAGGCAGGAGAATATTCAAGGGTGGTTACGTCGTTTCACACTAGAAAAACTAAGGAAAACCATCTAACTTGGTCCTTAATCTTCTATTCACTTCTCAACTAA